TCCATTCTCCTTCCCCTCAGCACTAAACACTCCTCTCCGTCCCAGAAGCTTCAGCTCCCCACCACCTACAATCTCTAACAGAAAACACACCGTAGCATAACCTTCCTAAAACCTAGGGCAAGGCAATGGTAAGCTGGCTTTACAGGGACTTGGCCACAGTGACTTAGGTTCACATCACTACAGAAAGGACCTGGGAGCTTCCTATCCCCCTCCTGCTTTCCAGCCCACAGCTGGAAATGGCAAGTCAAAAGCTACTAGGGTTTGTTCTGATTGACCAGAGCAAACAATTCCTCTGTTACCAAAGCATGATCCAATTCCAATAAGCACGTGCTCTGAGGAAGACAGAGGAGATAGTCTCGTTGGCTTTGTATCAGATCACTTATTCCTTTCCAGACTGAAAGGTCTTACTTCTTCCATTCCCTAGTGATCAAAGAATACAGACATTGGAGGCAACAAGGGTTAAAAAAACCCAACCAACCAAGAAAAAAAGAAACCAAAACAGCACCGACATGTGCCATTAGCAGAAAGCCATTTTGCTCCCTATTGCAGTTCATGCTATTCACAACCCCAGCTCGCCAGGGAAACGTGCACCTTTCAGCAGGCCATTGGAAACAGACCAGCAGTCTTCACCACCCCCACCAGCAAGCTTGTGCTAGCACCTCCAGATCAGCTGATAAGACCTTGTTTTTAAACTCTTGCTCATGTCTGCAGCAGCTCACCAAATCCATTCTGCATCTGCTGTGCCTGGGACTACAGTGGAACACCATTAAAACCTGTTTCCAGGCTAGTGAAGACAAAAGCTAAGCAGCTGGAAAGAAGCCAGGTCAAGCATCGCTTCCTAGCTTCAGAATCTGATTGGGAGTCTCACTCTATAAAAGACAGAGTGAGAGCCATTACCTTGCCCTGACAGCATGAAGTAGTATTAAAGCAGGCAGAATAATTCCCAGGAACCAGTGCCTCTGCAGGCATCTGTCTAATGTGAGGGCTATGCACTGGATGTGCCTCGGGAGTATGGGAGATGGCCAGGATGAGCAAGTGCCCTCGAGCCAGCCTGCGTACCCTGAAGGGCTCTGGAGTGCCCACACTCCCTCCACGGTGTACCTGGGGCAGCTGCAAAGACCAGCTGACTGCAGGCTGCAAGACTGAGCTATTATTTCCAGAAACAAATGGGTCTTGTAAATCGTAACAAGGCAGCCAAATTCACAGAGAGAAAGCTCTACCTGCATAATAAGCAAAGGATCTGTTTTACCTCTGGCTTCCCAGACCAGCTGGAGTTCTTTGAGGAGCTGCATGGCTCTTTCCTAGCAAATCAAGCCTTTATCCAGCAACTCTGCCAAGGTCAAAACCTTGCCACACGTCCTTTGTGCCCCTAGAGCCATTTTGGTATTTGGGGTTAAATGCTGTTGTTCCTACCTGGACATTCCTCCAAAACAGCAGATGAGAGAACACACGCTTCCTTCTCCTTCTGCCAATTACAGCAAAGCTCAGCCATGTTTATTTACCCTGTGTCTGAGCTGGCCAGATCTTTGACCCGATGTGTGCTGAACACCACCCTCCTTCCCCTCACACAGAGGCGGGGGCGGGTGCTTTCCATGTCTCCGAGGCGGCATGGGAGACAGGAGACCAAGGGCACTAGCGGAGACTCTAGCATGGAGCCGCAAGAGAGTGCCAGATGCCAGCTATGCAAGACACGGGGAAGCCTGCAGTTGCTGGTAATGTGCTGCTGCCTCCCACCATTGTGCAAATTTCTCCCGGCTGCCTGGCCAGAGCATTCTGCTGCAACGCCATCCCCCAGCCTTCAGACACCTCCTCCCAGCTGCATCCTCTCCCTCCCAGAAGCTTACCAGCAATTGCCCCCCCCTTGCCCCCCCAC